GAGAAAACCAGTTATGGGGGCCACAGCTCATTCACTTGGCCTGATGGTCAGGAGGCTAGCAGCCTGGTAGACCAGAGGCTGCCGTGCCCTCCTATCCGGGTCTCTTCACGATGGTGCTGGAATATAAGGGACTTCAAGGAGCACCCGGTCTATGGGAGATCCTAGTCAAGTCATGGTCACTGTTCTTGAGGGTATTTGAGTCAGTTCTGGAAATAAGGCCCACATCTAACTAAGCATGAGAACATTTCCTGTAAGAGCATTCCCTAAAAGGCAGACTCTGGGCAAGGTAGGGCTGGCTGGCAGCCCAGATGATGCTTAGCAAGGTGAAGTGACCAGCGTAGGTAGCTGGGGCCCTGTAAAAGTGAGAGCTGGTGAGCGGGGAGTGAACAGGCAAGCCTGGCCCAAAATTTGCAGGGTCCAGGACAAAAATACAAATAGAAGTCCCTATATCTTTGTCAGATTTTTGAAGTTTATAAAACCAAGAAACTGTTAAAATAGTTTGCTTTTCCCACCTTAACAAATATATCTTCATAAGGCAAATTGAAATATATATGTAAAGTTTTGGTTTTATATGACTGAAAGTGATAAAATATCAAGGAATTTAATTATTATTATATATCTGGTGGGCTGGTGATGTTCAGATGAGTAATAAGACTTATAGTTCATACATTATTTCATAAAATATATTTTTTGTCTTCATTTTAGCAAGATTACTATAATTATATTATTATAATCAAGATTTTGACATTTGAAAATTTTGTACTGAAGATAATAAAGGATTAAAAATAAAATGCAATCATATTTAAAGTATATGGAATTTGAATATATTTTCATCAACAATTTAAATTACAGTAAATGTAAAGAAAGGAAAATTTATATTTTCACAATTAATTTTAATCCTTGAAAATGCTATAGAAATTAAAATGCTATAGAAATTAAAAGATATAGAAATTAAAATGCTATATAAATTATCATAATTTATATCAGATTTTGAAATGAAATTATTTAGAGATTAAATTCAAATTTTTGAAGATTTTATAAATATGAAACCATTGACAGTTTTAATATTTAATATTTTATCTAGTTGCCAATGTAAATAATTAGTATCGTGCTTCGTGTTACATTGATTTGAGTAATATGAATTTTTTAAATACAGTAGTCCCCCCTTATCCACAGGGGATAATTTCTGAGACCCCCAGTGGGTGCCTGAAACTACAGATAATACCAAACCCTATACAACTGACCCTTGAACAACTTGGGGGTTAGGAACGCTGACCCCCGTAAAGTCGAAAATCTTTGTATAATTTAAGTTGACCCTTGAACAACACAAATTTGAACTGAGTGGGTCCACTTATAGGATTTTTTTCAAATTTGCATATAAGTGGACCTGCCCAGTTCAAACCTATATTGTTCAGGGTCAACTATATATACTCTGTTTTTTTCTTATACACATACACTTATGATAAAGTTTAATTTATAAATTAGGCACAGTAAGAGATTAATAACAATAACTAATAATAAAATAGAACAATTGTAACAATATATTGGAAGAAAAGTTATGTGAATGTGGTCTCTCGGCAAACTAGCTCAAAGCAGCATAAATGTTTTATTTCTTTTAAGTTGAAACGTTCACCTTTTTACTTCTGACTCATCTGAATTACCAGCATCACTGTCCTTGCACTGTGGGGCTATTATTAAGTAAAATCAGGGTCATAAGCGCTGTGATACCATGATAGTCAATTTGATAACTAGATGGCTACTAAGTGACTAAGGGTAGGGAGGGTACACAGTGTGGACAAGGCGTGGACAAAGGGGTGATTTGTGTCCTGGGCTGGACGGAGTGATATGCTGTGAGGTTTCATCATGCTGCTCAAAATGGTGTGCAATTTAAAGCTTATGAATTGTATATTTCTGGAATTTTTTTATTTAGTAATTTTGGATCATGGTTGACCACAGGTAACAAACTACAGAGAGTGAAACTGCGGAGAAGCGGGGACTACTATACTGTAAGGTGTTCCTCAGCCACCATGCGCATTTATTGTGAATACCACACTAATTCATAAGCACTTTCAGAACCACAAATTGGACCAGGGAGAAAAGCCAAAAAAAAAAAAAAAAAAAAAAAAGATGCTTCACATTACTGGGAAGTGCATACAGTGAGCCCTCATTTAACATCATCGATAGATTCTTGGAAATTGCGACTTTAAGTGAAACAGCAAATGGCAAAACCAATTTTATCATAGGCTAGTTGGTATAAATAAGAGTTAAGTTTCAATGACATATTCCTGGTCATAAAAACATCACCAAATTTGTAAATAAAGACCCAAAATCCTTCTAATAGTAAACATTGTAATAAATATAAGCTATACGTACATTTAGGAAAGATGAATTAAAAAAAAAAAAACCAGATAACAAATTTCCAACCTGCTTATTCCAGTTTGGAGTCTCTCCCAGCAGCTGGGATCTAAATCTAGGTATCTGCATTCATTCATTCATTTCATTCATATATGCATTTGTTCATTTATTTATAACCTATATTCGCTTCGTTCAATTCTTCATTTTATCATAGAATGCCAGGCCATAATAGTCTTGTATGCATTCCCATCATCCTACAGATGAGGGAACTGAGGCTCAGAGAAGGGTACTGATGCACCTGAGATTACACAGTAGAAAAGCCCCCTGACCAGGTTTCACAATGCAGAGGATGCGTATTGTGTTGGAGTTTCAGATAAAATCTGAATAAGTGCTGCTATATCCCAATCTGCTTCCCTTCCTTCATCAAACTCTGCTACCCAGGCCACTTGTCCCAGGGCCCTGGGGAGATCCTGCAGGGGGTTTCTGTTTGAAGAGCCACTTCCTGTTTGGGACTGAGCACTTCCTTTAAGTGACTCACAGGCTTCCACTGGTCCCGTGCTGGGAAGTCAAGGTGGGGGCTGAAGGCCTGGCAGGCCCAGGCTGTGCCACCCTCTGCCTGGGACCCCAGCTGGGTGACCTGAGACTGAGCAGTGACATAGACTAGGAGGGGAAGGAGATGGAAGGAGGATGCTAGACTGTTCTCTTCACCCAGCTCGGCAGGCAGGGCTCTGAGAGAACATGGAACTTGGGCTGCCATGGGCATGGGGGCAGCCTCCACATCCATTCATTCCCATATCCAGTTTCCAGGTAGGGGCTGACAGCAGAGCCAGGATCCCCCAGGGCAAATTTGTGACACTTTTTCTTCCTTGCGAGACAGTGAGGTATGATCAAAAGAGCACTAGGCTTGGAGCCATAGAGTCATAGGCTTGGATTTCTGACACCAACTTTCTGGTGACCTTGTCAGTTCCCTGCCCCTCTCTGGGTCTCAATATCCATGTCTGTCTAGTTGGGGGAGGGCTTTCTGGCTGTGACATTTTGTGGTAGCTTGGTATTGCAGGATTTACATTAAGAGAATTGGGTTTGACTTCTGGCTCTGCCACCTTTCTGGGTGTGTCTACCTCTCAGAGGCTCCATTTAAAAGTTGGAAATAATAATCACTTTAGGCATTTTACATAATTTAATCCTCACATCAACCCTATGGGATAAGTTTTTTATTATTGTCTTATACATAAGGTGATTGAGGCACAGGGAGGTTCAGTAACTTGCCTAAGGTCACATTGTAAGAGCCAAGATTCTAACTTGGGCAGTTTGACCCCAGCGGCCATGCTGTTAACAAGACATTGATGGTCTTCCTACTCAGACTGTGGTCCCTGTGCCTGTAGCATCGGCATCACCCAATAGCCTGTCCAAAGTGTAGAGTCCCAGACCCCAGCCTAGAAGTACTGAGTCAGACTGCATTTCAGTGAGATCTCTAGGTGATTTGTTGACATGTTAAAGTTTGAGAAGCCCTGTTCTATTTATATTCTCTGTCATTTAGGCCTTAAGATCACTGTGGAAGATGAAGGAAATAAGTGTGTTTCGTAAACTGTAAAGTGCAGTACATTCAGGGCCCTGTGAGAAACCTGGGGACTGGAGGTGGAGGAAGACAGGGCTGCGGGTGCTTCAGGAGTCTGTTTTTCAGTAGCTGGATGTCATTTCCAAGCTATCTTCGAGCCCAGCTCTGCCTCATTCCCATCCAAGGCTGAGTCTGAGTTGTGTGTTTCTTGCTGGTGTATGGCTCCAGGGCCCAATCGAGTTGGAGAGAGTTCTCACTGGCATGGGCTTGGGCTGGACACCAGGCCTGAGCCACCGCTGCCCTGGGTCTACAGGGCCCCAGAAGACCTGGGTTCCAGCCCTGGCTCTGCCTCCGACACTCCAGGTGACCCTGCCATCTGCCAGCTTATGTCCCTGGCCCTGCCAGCTTATGTCCCTTAGTAGGCAATGTGGCAGTATCCTCTGAAGCCTGCAGTCTGGCCTAGAGCCCCCTCCCCTCTCTTTCTCTCCCCGTGGCCCGTTGGCACCATCTCTCCTCCCAGTTCCTGGGCAGGAGGGCTGCCCTTCAGGTTATAAGAGCTGGTGATAGGGGAGGCAGTGCATGAGTCAGAAGTCAGCCACGTAATTGTGGTGCCCCAGATCCCGCCTCCAGCCCATTGGCCCTTCCTCAGCGGCTGCTTTAGAACAGCTGGTTTGTCGGAGAAGCAATTCCCTGGGCAGCACAAAAGGACCTCTGCCCCCCAGGAGCTGGGCACAGCCCCAGGTCTTGCCCCAGGGTGGCTGGGCCTTGGATCATGTTTCCATGGGCTCTGGGGTAGAGGGGGTAAGAGTGGTTCAAGAGCAGGTTATACTGGGTTTGGGGTTGGGGCTGGTTTATGGGCAGCATGTGTAGAGGTGGGATTGCATGTATGGGGTGTCATAGCCCACAGCTCATGCACACAGCTCACACACTAGCTTGGCAATTTTTCTAGGGCAGGAACTAGATATGACCCATCCCTGGGCCCCACATCCAACACAACATGGGCACAGGCTCACTAAGTCTCAAGTGGGAGGGGAGAAGACAGGGTGAACTGATAAGTAATCTGACTGGGTTTGTCCCCCTGCCCCCGCAGCTCTCCCGGTGAAGTGACATCACCAACTCCGTGGACAGGACACCTCCTGGGAGCCTAGCTCACTGCCACTGGTACCTTCTTCCAGGTAAAGAAAAAAGAAGAGAGAGAGGCGGGGAGAAAGGAATTAGAGACAAGCTGCATAGAGCAGACCACTGAGGTCTAAAATAATGTCTTTCTTAACCATGGGGGCAGCACCCTACAGTTTACCAAAAAAACAAAACAAAACAAAAAAACAAACCTATGAGAAACAGGGATTATTGTCCCATTTTACAGACAAAAAAAAACCCTGAAGCTCTGAGTAGAGTTGTCTGTTGCTTACTCCAGTGTACCTGATACTAAATCTAAGCACCTCACATGGATTAGCTCATTTAATCTTCACAATAGCCCATGAGGTTGGAGCTATTATTATCTCCACTTTATAGATAAGGGGACTGAGGTATAGAGGCATCAAGGAATCTACTCCGTTAGTAAATGGGAGAACTGGGTTTCAGACCCAGACAGGTTGGCTCTTGGGTACACATCCCAACCCCTATGATTTACCGCCTCTCTAGAGCCAAGAACTGAACTAAGTTTCCTTGCCCTCCAGTTTGGGGGTTTAATGGGCTCTCATTTCCAGGGAGAGATTTGTGTTTTAAGAGTGAATCCTAGAAAAAGTGACACTTCAGCCAAAGGAATGAATAGCAAATGGTGGAATTGGCATGAATCTTCAAGGTGTGCTGGCCACCAACTCCTGGGACTGTCTTCCTCAGCATTCGAGCAAGGCTGGTTTTCTTTGGTTACCAAAAGGAAACCAAAAGGAAACCAAAAGGAAACCTGGAAATTTGAAAGAGAGGAAGAAAAGTTTAGGCCCCAGGTTCTCAGCCTTGCCTGGAAATAGAGGGGCTACCACTTTACCCAGAATACCACAGTGAAGGGAGATGGAAATGACGGTGAGGAGATCAGCATTCTTTGCTAAATCTGAGGTCATCTTATACTAGGCCAGGGACAAAAATATGCAAGCAGATATCAGAGGTTTAAGAAAAAATCGTGGAAGAAAATACTTAATTGAGACTTTTTTTAGCAACTTAATTTTCCTGTAAATAGGGAAAGGCTGATTATTATTCAGAGGCAGAATTCAGAGCAGGCTCAGAAGTGCCTCTGCAGTTGTGTGGTTTAAGAGGCTCTGATCAGTTCCTTCTTTCCTTCTTTTACATATTTAACAAGCTTTTCTGAGTGACAAATAAATGGGCGCCTCCTTGGTGCTGGCCCAGTGCAGGGACACAGGTCTCCTCCCCAGTGACTCTAGCGGGAACTGGGCCTGGGATATCTTGTGTCCAGTGCAGGGCCACAGACACTGGCTCTTCAGAAAAGCTTGGCTGAGTGTATCAGAAGTTTCTGCCTGGGGAAGCTCTCAGCATGGTGGGCAAGGCAGCCATGAAAGCGGATAATTACTGTGCGCAGAGGCCTGTGATCATGTCTCACGAGTTCTGACAGATGATGCGAACACAAAGGGAGGAAGCAGTGGGCTTCCATGGGGGCGTCAGACCAAGCTTTGCACAGGGTCCTGATGGGATGTGCATTGGCGTGGTGGGGAGGGCTTTCCTGATAGAGGGCCCAGCATGAGCAGAGGCAAGGCAGTGGGAGGGTAGGTAGTGTGGTGTGCTTGGAGCACAGCAGTGTGAGGAGGGAGGGGGAAGTGAGGTGAGACAGGTAGGTGTGAGTGGAAGGAAGCAAGAGAAAGCCTTCTTAAATGGTAAGACTGGCTTCTCTTCCCACCCTAAGGCTTGTTTGGCAAGCCTGTTTGTATAATAACTCCACTATTTTACATAATAAATAAAATAAATCATTGCTTTCCATTCCCCCAGGGGGCAAAAACTAGTCAGAGACAAGTTTGCTTAGTGCAAGTCTCTGCCAGACTCAACTTCCTCCTCCTCCTCTCAGTCAGGTGGCCCCCCTTCCCAGGGACTCAGGCAGAGGCATTGGAAAAAGCCAGCCTGACAGAATCCCTGGGCTCCTGGGAGGGGCTAGGGTGTCAACCCAGGGTAAGACGACTAAGAAAGTCTCCCGGCTCACCAGGTCCTGTCATGGCCTCAAGGCCCAGCCAGAGGCCCTGCCAGAGGCCCTGGGGACATTTGCTCACCCTTTCTGCTCCAGGAGGACACTGTCAGTATTAATCTTGGGGTGTTTTGGGGGGCAGGGGACAGGCAGCTCCTCTTAGGAGGGTCCTCTTATAGTCCTGACTTAAGGTGTGAACCACTCAGGCCTCCAGGGAGGGAGGGGCGCATCACTGAGAGTATGCAAGCCAGTGCAAGCCTATACAGGCCGCTCTGCTGGGGAACCTCCAATAGCAGCCATACTAGAGATTTCTGCACGGGAAGGGAGGCTGGATGGAATGCCTCCAGGTCTTTCCTGGTGCTGACATTCGATAGCTTTAATTGTCTGAAATCCAGGGATAGTTCTAAGATCTCTGTTGGATTGCACCAGGATTCCATGTTGTGTGAGTCTTGGGTGAGGTGATTCTAAGACTCTTGTTTAGAGAGTTTGCAGCAGGAGATTTTGAGTCTGAGATGCTAAGCTCTGCTCTTGTGGGCAAGAACAGGTCACACCTGGTGACTATTCAGCCCAAGCTCATAGCCCTGACTTGGGAAAGAGAGGTCCTTTCTGTGCCAGGAGAACCCAAGGCCACACTGGGCAGGGTCCTGAGCCTGGCTTCTGTCCAGCCTGTAGCCCCAGACATGCTAGTCTGTCCCCCAAGGGTCTTAACTGAGGATGTGGCTCAGCAGACCTGTCTTGACCTCCACCAGCCTCCTGCCTCATCTGTAAAACAGGGATCTGATACTTACCTGTGGAGTTGGCAAGATGCTTCAATGAGCCAGTATGTGGGGAGGCTCTTTATCAACTGTGAAATACGGGGCATGTGGTTATAATTGTAGCTGCTGTTGCTGTGATAAGATTGTCCCCTTAAAAGGAAGGTCCATATCTGATTCTCTGTGATTCTCTTTGGCTCCCAGCAGTGCCTGGCACACAGTGGATGTTTCTTAAACATTTACTGAATCATCTAAAGAGCCTTAGATATGGGACAGATGGTTCCAGAGGCCATAGTTCCCAGGGAAAAGCAGGGAGCATTTCCTACAGGAGAGCAGCCAGGAGGGGCAAGGGAACTGGAGAACTCATGACTGGGGCGAAGCGAGCCTGCTCGGTGATGCCGTCAGCCTTGGCCTGCTCCCTGGTGGAAGAGCAATCAGAGGTCTCTGGACAGAAGTGTTAGGTAAACAGGAGGCTCTGACACCACTGTGGAAAGAGATTAATAATGACTAATTATGACACGATTGATTCTTTGAGGACTCCTGCTGAGCCCCAGCCTTGGCCACTGAGTAACTTTTTCCCCCAAAATGAGCACGCATGACATGGGGATGTAGTGCTGGCCTACCTTGTCTTTCTACCTCCCAGGCTTTCCTCCTGGCACCGTCTCTCCCAGCCTCTCCCCACTGGCAGCTGCCTCAGCGATTTCCTTCCTGCCCTGCGTCTGCCTTCCTTCTCTGCTGATTTCATTAGAATCTAGAGCTTTCTCTGAGGCCCAGTGAAGTGGAGTGACGTGCTCGGGGCCACAGTGTGGTGGTGGCAGCTCAGGTCTCTCAATTTAAGCCATCCGGTGAGGCTCACATGATGAAAAGATAGTAAATCTGTGAGCACTCCTCAAAAGTGAAGTGTAGAAGGCTGTGCTGGATGGTGGCAGGGTGGGGCCTGCAGCTGGTTGGTCCCACATTTCTCTGGGCTTTTCAAGCCTCAAAGAATGTGAAGTCCCAGAATTACCCCTGTCCCCCTACCTCCAGCCTCTGTCCTGAGGCCAGGGATTTGTCTTGTTGGTTTGTGTTAGATTGTTAGTTTGGGAAAACAGCCCACCTGGTGAGATGCTTGGGGGCTTCCCTGCTACCCCTGAGCCCCCAGAGGATGGGGAGGATCCTGTTGGCAGCAGACCCCCCCATACACACACCAAATGGAACCCACATGGGTTAACTTTCTGGCTGGAGCCCTTGGCCCTGGGAGAGGCTCTGCCACCAGGTTCTTTCACATAGAGCCCCATTCTTCCCTTTGTGCTACGAACCTCTCTTATTTCTGAATTCCACTTAGATTCTGCCCTCTCCATGAAGCCTCTGTGCAGTCATCAGTTCCGGGACCTGAGGAAGCACAGGAGCTGTGGGTCCGGAAGACCTTGACTCAGGCAGGGAGGGTTTCCTGGAAGAAGGGCCATCTAAGCTGAGGAGTTTGCAGGCCTGAAGGATGGGCAGAGGGGCCCAGAGCTACGGTTGCTTCCCAGGCACACCTGCACTGGGAGCAGGGGATGGACAAGGCAGCTAGGAAGGACCACAGGGAAGCCCTGGTCTTGCTCCAAGGCCATGTTCCCAAGCATGATGGGAGAAGTGACTATAGCCTTTTATGCCTTGAGCTTTACTCTAAGTGAAGTAAGGGGTCATTGTGAGTTATCCAGGCTGTGACTCCTTGTACCTTTGTCCCTGTCAAAGATGGTGGCGACACCTGGGTAAGGGCAGAGCCCTGGCCTGGGGCTCAGGATGACCAGGCCTCCAAACATGTTGTAGGCCTTCAGCTTTCATGCTCATTTTAATCACTCCCATCCGTAGCAGGCTTAGGCTCCCAGGCATTAGTTTTAGGAACGTAGAGGATTCTTCCCCTCAGACTAGGCAAGGACTGTGGGATTGTCATTCCCTCCTTCCTGTGCCAGCCCATCTCAGCTTTTCTCTAGGGCATGAGGAGAGAGTAGGTGGTTAAAGTGTTTTAGAAGCTGAGTGCCAGAAGGGCCCTTGGAGATCATCTGGTGGTGTTCAGACCCTTCCATGATACAGATGAGACGGCTGAAGCCAAAGGCTTGTGGAGGTCACTTAGCCTCTTGGTAGCTGAGCTCAGCCTCAGCTTATTAGCCCCAGGCCTGGACTGGGGTTGAGGTCCCAGAGAGGGCAGTCATAGCCAAGGAGAAGGGGAGTGGCCTCTCTTGCACGTGGGTGCCCTGCCTCCTTCCTTGGGGCCCTGGCAGACCGCTAGAGAAGGTCAGATCTCCATCAACCTCAACCCTGTGCTTGTTGTGGCAGG